TTATATATATATATATATATAACCAATTTATGATATGCAAATGATACTAATCTTTATACATTTCAGGTAAAGGTGTAATGAGTAAATTCAGATTGTTGTTGAAACGCAGAGGCCATAGTACTAGCTACGATCCAACTCTCAATCCAGGAATTGCGAATGCGTTTAGCGCAGCTGCTTACCGCTATGGCCACACTCTTGTGCAGGTACAATACTTATGTACATTTTCATTTATATTTAAGTAGTGAAACTGTTATTCAGTGACAAACTAAGATTGATATCAGAAACTAGTGAAGCTAAGAATTTCTATGTTTTGTTTCAGAGTTTATTTAAATTCTAAACTTTCTTGTATTGCGGTTATTGTACTGAAAATAATGCTGTTATTGAAGTTTAGATATATTTTTTTACGCATTTAAAAACTGTATTTTTTATATACTTTTCTTTCCTGCGTTCAGGGTACATTGAACTTGATTGATAAAACTAACGAGATCGTTGATAAGGTGCCTATAAGGGACGCTTTCTTCAATCCTTCTCGACTCTACGAGCCTGGTAACCTAGATCGTTTGCTACGCGGGTTAGTTAGACAACCTTCCCAGCGATTTGATTCTTTTGTCACCAATGAGGTTGGCTGTTTTCTTACTACTTTAGTTTGTGTATGGGACAGTGATAGGTTTTTCCTGTCTTTGTTATTTCAAGTAATTTGTTTATTATCAGCTAATGCTAAATTGTAACATTAAACTGGCTTTCGTGAATTCATGTTACTGATCATACAAAGTACTGTAGCATTAAACTGACATTCTTGAATTCATGTTATAGATCATACAAAGTACTGTAGCATTAAACTGATTTTCGTGAATTCGTGTCACTGTCGAACAAAGTATTGTAGAATTACACTGACATTCGTGAATTCGTGTCACTATCAAAGAAAGTACTGTAGTATTAAATTGACACACTTTCATGAATTCATGTCACTGATGAAACAAAGTATCACTTTGTATGATCAATAACACGAATTCACGAAAATCAGTTTAATGCTACAGTACTTTGTATGATCAATAACACGAATTCACGAAAGTCAGTTTAATGCTACAGTACTTTGTATGATCAGTAACATGAATTCACGAAAGCCAGTTTAATGTTACAATACTTTGTATGATCAATAACACGAATTTACGAAAATCAGTTTAATGTTACAATACTTTGTATGATCAATAACATGAATTCACGAAAGTCAGTTTAATGCTACAGTACTTTGTATGATCAATAACATGAATTCACGAAAGTCAGTTTAATGCTACGATAACATGAATTCACGAAAGCCAGTTTAATGCTACAATACTTTGTATGATCTATAACACGAATTCACGAAAGTCAGTTTAATGCTACAATAACATGAATTCACGAAAGTCAGTTTAATGCTACAATACTTTGTATGATCAATAACACGAATTCACGAAAGTCAGTTTAATGCTACAGTACTTTGTATGATCTATAACATGAATTCACGAAAGTCAGTTTAATGCTACAGTACTTTGTATGATCTATAACATGAATTCACGAATGTCTGAGTAATGTTGCAGTATTTTGTTAGTAATAGTAAGACGATTTTAATTAATGTATATGATAATTTTATTTTTTAGTGATTCGTGTACATTTGGGTATATTTTCTTTTTCGTATTACCCTCTTTTCATCAGTTGAAACATAAACTTTTTGAAATTTCAAATATTCAGTCTTTCACGACTACATGCCATATTTTCACATTTTTTAAAATTCAAATTTCGATAACGCAAGGAATTCTTGACCAGTACAAATAGTTATAAAAATAAACGTTCAAAGTGCGTAACAGTTAGACTTGTCTTTACCCTTTATTTAATGAACCGTTACGCACACAGTTGACCAACCACCTTTTCCAACCTCCTGGTCAAAAGTTTGGAATGGATCTTGTTGCATTGAATATCCAAAGAGGGCGTGACCACGGAATTCCAGGTTATAATGATTGGAGGGAACATTGTGGACTGCCCAGGGCTCGATCATTTGATGACCTGACTCGATGGATGAATCCGAACTCAGTCAATGCTTTCAAGGAACTTTACAGGTATGTTAACAATTGGAGCCCCCTGATTGAAAACATGTCTATTCTGAAACAGTATATCAAACTAATACGGATAAAGTTAGATCACTAATACAAGATTTTTTGATGCGTAGCAACCTTTTAGCAAAGATATTTGATTTTGTCCCTACGCTTTTTATGAAAGTTTCAAATGAGACTTCACATATGTAACTGAGAGATTGGCTCCTATGTTTTTAAAGTTTCTTAATTTTTTTTTTTGTCTGGCAAATGTAGGAGGAAATTAATATTTTTTATTGTATTACTAGGGATACAAACGGCAATTTGTAAATTTATTTGTGACCTAACTATTTTCAAAACTGAAAAAAAAGTTTCCCTAACAGGTTTAAGATTCTTGATCAACTCAAAATGATTTTTTTATAAGTATAATTGTGTGTTAATTTATTGTAAGTAAGTGTTAAGTTTGAAAGTAACTCAATATTCGATGCACTGTCTTCCATAAATCAGCTTTGAAAGGATATTAGTCATATATATAAATATTAGATTTCGAATTGGTTTCTCTATAAAATTACTATGTTTTTTCATAATCTCAAATCTCTTTTTATCAAACTCGTAAGCTAACAAGTTTAATTTCAATACACTCAGGAACGTGGATGACATAGACTTATTTCCGGCCGGTATCGCCGAGCGTTCCCTTCCAGGCGCTACTCTTGGTCCCACGTTTGCGTGTATCGCTGGCGACCAGTTTCGAAGACTGAAGCTAGGAGATCGTATGTGGTACGAAAACGGCAACATGGAGTCGTCCTTCACTGAACGTATGTATCGTGATACTACAGAAAATTATGTCGAACGTTTTCTTATTTTACAAAAATGTTTCTCTTTTTTACTGATGGACATTTCCCGATATACTTCCACGGGTATTACTTTCTAATATATATACATGTGACTTGTTTGCACAGACTCATAGAACGGGTTACCTGTGCTCAAAGATTGGTTGTTTGTTTTGTTGAATTTCGCGCAAGCTACTCCAGGGCTATTGGCGTTAGCCAACTTTAACTTAGAAGTAATAGACTAGACGAAAGTCAACAACAGTCACCGCCAACTCTTGGGCTACTCTAATCGAATATTGGGATTGACTGTCTCATTATAACGCCCCACAACTGAAAGGGCGAGCATATTCAGTGATGGGATTCGATCCCGTAATCCACAGATTGCGAGTCGAGCATCCTAACCACCAGGTTCTGTCGGGTTCTGCAGGAAGTGAACCCCTATGTTTATTGTTATAAGCCCTCGAGCTTAACACTGCACCACCGGAAAGTAACTCAGCGAAGTTTCGGAGTAGTTCCTCCAGTTTTTCTATTAAAGAGTTATTTGTTTCGATATTTTATTCTCCTTCAGTTTTTCTATTAAAGAGTTATTTGTTTCGATATCTTATTCTCCTCCAGTTTTTCTATTAAAGAGTTATTTGTTTCGATATCTTATTCTTCTCCTTAGTTTTTCTATTAAAGAGTTATTTGTTTCGATATATTATTCTCCTCCAGTTTTTATATTAAAGAATTATTTGTTTCGATATCTTATTCTCCTTCAGTTTTTTTATATTAAAGAGTTATTTGCTTCGATGTCTTATTCTCCTCCAGTAAAAAAACTGAAGGAAAATAAGATATCGAAACAAATAACTCTTTAATAGAAAAACTGGAGAAGAATAAGATATTGAAACAAATAACTCTTTAATAGAAAAACTGGAGGAGAATAAGATATCGAAATAAATAACTCTTTTAATATAAAAAAACCTGAAGGAGAATAAGATATCGAAACAAATAACTCTTTAATAAAAAAAAATCTTTAATAGAAAAACTGAAGGAGAATAAGATATCGAAACAAATAACTCTTTAATAGTTATTTGTTTCGATATCTTATTCTCCTTCAGTTTTTTTATATTAAAGAGTTATTTGTTTCGATATGTTATTCTCCTTCAGTTTTTCTATTAAAGAGTTATTTGTTTCGATATCTTATTCTCCTTCAGTTTTTCTATTAAAGAGTTATTTGTTTCGATATCTTATTCTTCTCCAGTTTTTCTATTAAAGAGTTATTTGTTTCAATATCTTATTCTTCTCCAGTTTTTATATTAAAGAGTTATTTGTTTC